AAATCATTATGAAATGTTTTTTCCTGGGGCTGTGATCCCCCACCCAGCTGTCATCAAACAGCTGATTTACTCAAAAGGTCTAGATAGGACTGAAGCTTAAGGAGAGAGTTGAAGTATTTTTGCATTGCAGATGGAGATCCGATTTCAGGTTTCCTCTAACTAGTTGTAACATTAACAGGCGTTTAGCTGCAGCAGCATAGACTAAAATTAGTTAGCAAGTGCCTGGTCTGCTACTGCAGATACGCTGCTACTGTTGACCTCGACGGCTTGTTTGGGTGTAAGAGCAGCATTCTCTGTCTTCTGATTTGCAGTAAGCAAACCCATTTGCAAACAAAATGAAAAATTTCCAGGCTCAGAACCTGACTTGGGTAACTCATGTGAACATCTGCTTTGATTGCTGTGGCATTGACTAGGTCAGGTAATCCACAGGTGTGGTTCCTTGCCATCCAGGCCTCTGTTAAGGGCTTGCATCTCCCTTGATCCAGCACAGCAGACTGGCAGGGAAATGGTTCTGAGCTGCTGTGCATTCAAGCATTTTAAGTCCTCTGCTTGCTTGTCTGCAAGGCAGATGTGCAGGCTGATTCAGCAACACGGTTGAAAGGTCAATGTGTATTTATGTGAAACCCCCCAACGCTCCTTCCTCCCATCCTATCCCTCTCCATTAACCTGTGTCAACATTTGGCTGCGTTTTAGCATCAGTTGCTGTTCTATTTTCTTAAAGTCACATTTGTCTCATAGATCTGTCAGCGGAAAGAAGCTTTGTTCTACCTGTGGACTTCCTCTTGGAAAAGGAGCTGCCATGATCATTGAAACACTTGGTCTTTATTTCCATATTCAGTGCTTCAGGGTATGTCTCTTGCTTTATTAAGAAAAATCTCAACTCACGCACAGTGTGAGGAGAGAGTATGTTGAGGACTGCAGATGTGAAACTGAAAATGAGAGGACCAAGGGATTTGCATGTTTGTGTGGTTTTTTGCTTGTAAAGAAGTGGAAGTAATGCAGCTAATGTGTTATTTTGCTGTCAGATATGTTAATTGGACTAAAATCTATGATTTAGCAAGCAAACATAGCTTCCTCACTTACAGAGGAGAGCATCATGTAATTTCCCAGTTGTACTCATTGTTGTTTAAGTATAGCATAGTTACTTGTGGTTTGGGGTTTTTTTTGGTGGGTTGGTGGTTTGTTTTGTTGTTGTTTTTTTTTTCAAAAGCCTGGTCAGTCCTGAAGCCATCTTTGATCTGACCTATGCTTGGAAAGCTTTGACTATGGAATGGAAGATGTATTCTGGCTTTCACCAGAGCTCTCGGCAGAAATACTTCTTGTCTGTTCTCGAGTGTTTCAGTCTGGAAATTACTCAAGATATTGTTTTCTAGAGAACTCAGAAAGTATCCATTTCCATTATCTCTTGCCCAGTTGGTATTAGACATTCATGAAGCCCTTTTTGGTTTTAGACATTTACCCGAACTAAACCTCTGGCCTCTCTAAGCTTTGTCTGTCACAAATGGGCTGACTCCAGAACGCAACTTTAGAATCGAATGTCCCTTAAAATCACTAGACTTCACTTCTGTCTAAGTGGAGACTGCTGAAATCCAGTCCTAAATACTGTTGGCTCTAAAAAAACCTTTCCCTGATTTGCAGTTCTCCCCAGGAACATGGGCTGGGTTCTGGGAGTTTCTCACTATTACAAGAACTACTGAAACGAAAGTCAAAATTTGGAGAGAGTTGTGACAGAAAGTAAGGCATGGTCTTTCTTACTTTCTCTGTTCTTCAATTGACAGTGTGGCATTTGCAAGGGACAGCTGGGAGATGCAGCAAGTGGGACAGATGTCAGGATTAGAAACGGTCTTCTTAACTGCAACGATTGTTATATCCGATCCAGAAGTAAGTACCAAATCCTGTCTAACAATACCTTTACCATGATTTTAACTGATGGGTTTGTCTCCTCCTGGCTTTGCCACTCAGGCATGCCTGTGCTATAAGAAGGGGACCCTTCCCGTGCCATTTTAATCATCCTCTTGTATCAAAAAAGATTTCTAAGCCCATTAAATCTTGCCCAGAGGATCTCTTCTTAGCAGTATTAGACTTAAAGTCTGTTTCTGTGCATAAATATAAACTCCTATTCTGTGCACACGTATTGCATGTCTTGAAGGTTTGGATCTGTCACATCACATGAGACAACGTAGATAACTCCACTAGGTCTAGGACCTTTGCCATCATTTGGAGAATTTCCCACTTTTTATCTCTCCAGGCCTCTGTTTGCAGAGAAAATGGTCAAAGAAAATATTAGGAACATTCTATAACTTATCATAATTAATCCTTGTGGTGGAATCCCCAGATGTGCTAAACTGTTGCTTGCTGCAAGTTTTGAAGAATGAGCCAGACAACTGCATGTCAGAAAAATCTTGATGCGTTTTTCTGCCTTAGAATAGGTCACTTGGACATTCTTCCTAATCCTGGATTTCTGTGACTGATACCAAATTGCTACAGCATTTCAGCTTCACCCTGATGTCACTAGTGATATGAGATGGGCAGTGCTCATGCTTTCTTTCTACTTGGTGGAAAAGAGTAAGACACAGAAAAAAGACCATGGGAGTACTTGTTTCCTTCCTGTTACATGTTACTGTTCAGTACATTCACTGCCTATGGTCCGAACGAATAAGTGGAGATAGAGTTCTTTTCACTTACTTTTTCTCTTCCTTTCTCTCAAAAGCAGTGACTGTAGAAATCCAGGAGTAGGAAAAATATCTACCTACTTTTATCAGTGGAAGAATAGATTTTTTTTTTTTCTCTGATATTTCAGAAGAGAGATGTTTCCCCCTCAGCAGAGCTAGAGGGTGCTATTGTATAACTGTTGGGTGATTATTTTTTTTTTAATTTTGCTAAGAAATGTTAGCAACTTTTTATTATTATTTATTTAACCTAACACATTTAGAGATGGCTTTTCCTCTTCAGGCTTGATACTATAAATCTTCCTCATGAGGTCCTGACCCTTAAAATGCACGTTTGCACATCTCTCTTTACACACAAAAAAAAAAGAGACGAAGGTGACGAAAGTCATATCTTCCTTTTCTTCTTTTTGTTTAAGCAAAAATTGAGGTCCCTTAAGGCTAGATGATCTTTTAAGATCCCTTTCAACCCAAACCATTCTATGACAGATGAAGGCTCAAATAAATTATTTATCAGCTTATATGCTGTAGAAATCACCCCCTCCGTCATCATTTCTACAGCAGTGATGCTAGAAAGTGCGGTGCAGAGCTGTGCGCAGTGTTTTGTGCTGTAAGGTTTTGCATTTGTACATACCTAGCACAACAGAAACCAGGTTTTGTGGAAATGTATGGTTCCTGAAGAATAATAATAGCAAGGGTTTGGGTTTTTTCCTACAAATTGCCTCTTCCTGCTGTGTCCGCTCCTCATGTGAAACCCCAAAATATGGGTTGGTGGAATTTAAGTTACACAGGCTCTTGCTGACAGTTTCAAAGGGACTGATTTAAAACTGCAGCTGTGGTTAGTTGTTCATTTTTAACTAAAATTTTATGGACTCCGTATCTGAAATGAAGAACAAACTGGTGCAATGTTAGTGTTTTGCCTTTCAGTTCTGGGAAGTCTGATGCTAAATATAAAATCAATTGCCTGTTTGCACAGCTTGTGCCTTCCTGCCCCTGCATCTAAACCTGCGCAGCAGTGCACACAGCTGACAGTCTCTGATCAACCCAGAATTAATCAGTATTGTTTTGAGATGCTTAGGGACATCTCAATGAGATATTTTGGCTGCCAGAAACTTGTTTGAAACTGTAGATGATGCTGTTTCAAAGTAAATTATAAAAAACCTTAAGAAAGAAAAGCATTACAGATTATGTAGTGGTCCAGGATCCAAAATATTTCTATTTTTCAAATAAAAGTGAACAGGGTTTTATTGGTAGTTTATTTCTCTACAACAAAACCTCACAATGATAGTCATTAGAACTCAGTATTTGATGTCCAACATGGGGAATAGTTACTGGTTTGTGAGTGCTGAAGTCAAAGGCAGAAAGTAAATTAATGAGATTCCCTGTATGGCCAAATAACACAAGGTCTCTGTATTACCACATAACACAAACCAGGCGCAGCTAAAGATGACTCATCAGTCCTTTGCTTTACTATTTTGCCACACTGCAGAGCCTGAAAGTCAATATGCCCACAAGTACTTTGGGAGTAAAATGAAATAAAAGTGCATTTGTCCCTATGGCATGGAAAATGTATTTCCACTCAAGTTATGCTGAATCCTTCTTTGCAGTTAGTGCCCCAGCTTTGCAGGAAGAAAGAAATGCAGGGTACAAATTACATATATTTCGAGATGTAGTTTTTTTAATTGTAGACATCGTATGAGGAAAAGCCTGTGTATGTTTGTTAAAATTTGTCAACTGATGGCTTGGTTTGGTTTTGTTTTACCCAGCTGCTGGACAGCCAACTACATTGTGACATGACTTTCAGTCCTAATAGCTTTCAAGGAGGAACTCTCTTCTCGTATGTATCGGCTGCCTCCAGACAATCACTTGTAAGAGCTTGAATCCATGGACATCATGGCTCTCATTTCATTTTGAAAAACTCATAAAAACACTACACCTGCTCCTTTAAAATGCAATGTGTTGGGTTTTCTCTTCCTTAAGAAATTTGCAAAATATGTATGACCATGTTTGGGAAGGCAAAGCCTAAGTACTGTTAAAAAAAAAAAAATCCCGCCTTTCAGGTATGTTTATGATTTCCATTCTGTTACCTTGTTCTTTTGAAAGTAATAAGAAAATAAACATGCAATAAAACCGTTTTGTTTTAATATTTCTAGAAATTAAGAAGTTTAAGTTTACAGAACCTTTATAGAATATGCCAACTTGAGCTGAGAAGTAATTTTAAGATAGTATCTAATCAGTTCATTTGAAAAAACTAAACATCACAGCACAACTTCTCTGTTATAACTGATAACTTTTTTTACACAGAGACTAGTTTGATAATACATCATGTAATTCTGAAGCCTTTTGTGTTTATATTACCTTCAGTGGAGGGTAGGAGTTCTACAAATAAATTATTGCACCTTTAGTGATAGGATTTTTTGTTTGTTTGTGTACCTCAAGTAATGTTCATGACTATAGCTTAATATTCTCTCAAATAAAGATTTCTTCATTAAACCTAAAGACTGTATACCATTAACGATGGCAAGATTCCCATTAAGAGCAATCCTGCGTATTAAGTTCAGCAGTCCATGTTGTTATTAAGCTTGATGAAAGGTGATGTGGGGGAGAGGTGGCCGAGTGGGTGGACACAGCTGAACTGTGAGTCTCCAAGCTGGGGTTCGATGGTAGGGTGAAGCTTTTCTCTTTGGCGTGTAATTTGCCCATTGATGGTCTGAGCTGGTTTGAGATCTGCTCATTTGCAGACGTTACAGTTGGTTGAAATCTCATGCGGAGAAACGTGTGTGGTTTGGATGCCCTCCAGAGCAGGGAATTAAGCAGCCTTGAACCTGTGTTCCTCCACACGTCACACCAATAAAGTCAGCGAAGCCCGGGAGTGCGGAAGGAGGGCAGGGAGGAGGCTGGCAGTGGTATGCAAAAAACCTTTACCTTGCCTGTGTGTGGGCCAGTTTTCCTTTGTGCTTTTTGATCAAGCATGTGCTCCTTACTAAAGTGAGATTGAAACAGCGGTCGGAGCTGCATCACATTATCAGCAACACACAGATAAGCTTAGGTGATGTGCTATAAGTGTACAATATCCTAGCACTGTTTGATAAACAGTTATTTGAAATATCCCATTTTAGCAGTTCACGATGCAACTTAAAATGGAGGGGAAAAAAAATCTGCTTATTCTGCCTTAAAGCCATGATAAAACTAAATTAATAGAGATTTATTTTATGTATGTGCACATCCATTGTCATGTGATGTGTTGGTAGATGGAAATGAAGTGGTTATTAGGGAAGCAATAATTTTGAGTTGTTCTATAGCTAGCAACTATTTTTAAACACTAGACAGTTGCTTGCATGTGAGTTGCATACCCATGCAAAACTGCATGTCATTGAAAACCCATGTACAGTGTTGTCATTGGAGGACGTTGTGGCTGTCTGCTGGAAAGTTACATGTTACTTCCTTAAAATTGTGCCTTAGAAAATGCAAAGCTGTTGCACACGGTCACTGATGACTTATGGATGCAATAAATCCAAAAAGCTAAAGTCCTTCGTGGACTTCACCTGGGGAATATTTAAAAAAAAGAAAAAAAAGATGAGAAAAATGTTTTGGAAATAACAGTGATGTCCAATATTTTGATTAACCATCTGCATGATTTACTGTTAAAGGGTTTTGATAACCAGGATGCTTACACTTTGCATGTGGCCATCATAACGTTTTCCTGCAAATAATGCATAACATGGAAATTCAAAAGCAGATTTTATAACCAACTTTGTACATCTGTGTAATTCCATGTGCTGCATTAAGGATATGTGAATATATGATGTCTGGGCCTAATTTTTAAATGAGACCGTGCATGCTTGTGCATCTATTTGGTATGAGTAACACTGCTTCACCCATGTGATAGAATTTAGATGTGCAAATCGGTCCTCAAGTGTATAAAAGGGTTGGTTGTCACGGAAGTTAGATCTGCTTCTCATCCTCGTAGGGGTGAGTGCCCAAAGGGCATAGAAGCATGGCTGGGACTAACGTGCATGGGCGAGGGGCGAGCTGGGGGCATGCAGCGCACTGCAGACACGCCACTGGGTCTCTGAAGCTGCTTAGAAATTGATCCCAGTGTCTATTGGTTAGTTTCGTATATGCATGTTTTAGCAAACTTGATTGTATGTAAAGCGAAATGAAGCAGCGTTCTCAGATGACAATTCCCCCCCCCTCCCATGAACATCTATTCACCAGCACAGAATAATTTTCAGCAGTTAACTAAATTGTACTTCCCAATGGCTTATGTTTGATTTTATATTTCCTTTGGAGTCTTACATGGTGAATTCATTCAGGCTATGACCTTTTTTTTTTTTCCTTTTTTTTTTTTCCCAGTTTAAACACATAAATATGATACATTTCTTATCAGGAATTTTAAGCACAGAGAAGAATAACGCTTTACTACAATTGAACTACATTGTAAATGTATTTGTTGCAAAAAAGCGATTTATTATTGCTAAGTGAGTACAATGTATGTAATGGGTTTTAGATGTTTCAGAATTTATTTAGCCTCTTACTACTGCAGAGAACCTGAACAGGTGTCATAACCCATCTGTATTTCACAACCCTGTTTTCCATGGTGTATTTTTTCCTTACTCTTGCTAAGTAGTGTTATTGATGCAGTACATCTGTAGTTCTCGGTGAATGTCCGAAAGGTTGGTGAACCAGAAGGGGACCATCCTTATCTGCACGTCCATTCAAGGACAAGGATTGCTGTCCTAGCTGGGGCTAATGTTGAATACCAATTACGCTAATCTTTCCTTTATTTATTCTAAAATGCCTCTGGAGATCAGGAAAACTTGTCTAAAACGCAGCAGCTTTTATAGTAAATGTATGTTTATAAATAAAATGTTGATTACCTTTGGTGGTGTTGATTTTACTTATTACAACTAACTTCTGTTGCATGTGGTGTCTCTGTGAAACTGCATCGCAGAGTGTGTACATCCTGTTGATAAACGCTTCTGCTTGACTGACGTAGGCTGAGCCAAGCTATATTCCACAAAACTTAGTATACAAGATGGGACAATGAAAAAGACAGGTACCTGAGATGGGACAACTCCCTGTGGATTGCTACTGTAAGCTGTAGCAGAGTATTTACAAAAGCTTGTGTGCCTATCGTGTTAAAAGCTGAGCAGATGGCTTTCTGTGAGTCGAACCCAAAGTCCTCAGAAGATCTTTCGTTCATGTCAGTGGACTGTGGTTCAGACTTTGACTCAATAAAGCACTTTATGTATTGCAAAGCTGAATATGTGCTTGGTTAATTCCATTTCTACGTAGCAAAGATCCTTGACTTGGTGCTTACTTATGCCTGTGCCAAGGTATCTCGCTAATTCTTGAGTCTCAACAAGTGTGTGGCTTCACCAGTAACCAGCAGAAAGTTTACACAAATTTTTAAACTAATAACTGCAGGGTTTTTTTTCTTTTTAATTGGGTCTTCAATGGATGACGGGTTTGGTTTTGTGCCAGAAGCACATCTCGGCTGTTAGATGAGTCATGGGGAAGTACTGACAATTTAATTTTTTGAAAGCAGATTCTTTTTTTTGTATCCCAGTGCCTTAATGGAGCCGGTAGTGGTCTTACGTTATTTCTGCATGTAAAGCCTGCGGACAGAGGGCCAGGGTTGTTCTGCGGTGGCAGAGGTACGCTGGGTGGGGTTCTCCGCGGCGAGCGCGGGTGCCGTGCCCGCAGGAAAGCTCGCTGCCGCGGCAGGTTGCTCTGAGGCTGGATTTGGAGGCAGTTACGCGGCTGTTTCTGCTTCAGCAGCTCTGCACCAGCGTTGCTGGGTACCCAGACGAGCAGGGTTTTAGTGATGGTGACCTTTGCGAGCCAAGTAAAATGGTGGAAATCCTGATATGATTTTTTTTTTAAATAAATTATTTTCTGGTGAATGTGACCTGGCAGCTCTGACCTGCACAGAGTCGTTTGTGATCCTAACAGGGCACAGATGGGGCTGTGCTCCACCAGCTCTGATTTAATGCCAAGATAATTCTGCAAGCCTTACAAAAGGGTAGTTGTGTCACCTGCTCACCCCACCAAGCACTTTCATCTGCAGGCAGCAAAGGCTGCCAGGAAGGTCCCCAGGGAGACCACCCTGCTCACAGGGCCTTGGCATGCCTTGGGAGAGGACGATGGCTTGCTGAGCAGCAGGATGAAGCTGGGGGCACATGGAAGAAGTAGGAGATGGTGTGGGAGAGGAGGGGGCTGTTACAGCTGAGGCTCTGACATTGGGGCAGAGGATACTCCATGCAAAGGGGGATGTGTGCCCAGGAGAGCTCTGTGCCTCTTCTGCACCCTGTCTGGGTGCAATGCCTCCGGCCCTCCCCTTTCCCCGACTGCATCCATGCGGGATGAGGGCTCCATTTCCTCCTCTGTGCCCTTGCTGCGAGGTCCAGCTGACACCCTTTGTTTTGCTCTTTGTTTTCTCTCTTTAGCAAGTGTTTTGATGCAGAGATCATCAGCAAACGCAGCCCAGCGCTGGTAGTTGTTGGAGGCTCTAGGCACAGGTAATAAACAGCAGTAGCTTGCTCATCTTGTGAGTATTGATCCTTACCCAGACAACTCTTCTAGGGGATAGTTAAAAGCAGGCAGCTACCACTTTGTTTAGAAAATCAGCTTTAGGTACAGTTCTTGCTGCCCAATTTAGTGAAGATTTGGTCTCAGATGAATCCCCTTCCTGGTAATGGGAAGCTGGTTAAGTACTTACTCAATAAACTTTACGGAGAGGGGGCTCGCCCCACTTTTCTCCTACCTTGTCTCTGCTCTCCTGACAAGAGGTTGAGTAACTGGGGAACGAGAAGACAAAATGCTCATTTTCAGAGACACATCTGAAGAGAAAATCAGAAGGGGTTGTGGACACTGGAAGTGAACAGATGACCACCACTTGGTTAGAAAAAAAAAAAAAAGAAAAGATGCCGGAAAAATACATCTCTTGAAAAGGCAAACAGGACTCCTATATACCTCTAAAAGCCTCCGGTAGGAATGTAATTTCATCTGAGTTCCCTGATAAGGGGAAATGACTAAACTGGAAGCCACTCAAGTTTTGCAAGCAGTAAGAGCCCAAAACAGAGCTAGAAAGTACAGAGTGGACTGTGACTCTTCTCACGATAGGGCGTGGGGTTGCTGTTTTGGTGGAGGGGATCTGTTTTCTTGTTTGTCTTTGTTAGAAAATATAGCATGAGTCAAACATGCAAGAGCAATGTTTAGCCCTCTGCAAGGCTGTAGCTGCTGCTCTGTAGACCTTGCTGGACACCCCATGCTCTGCCAGAGTAGTTGTTGAAGCTCTCCTCCCCAAAGCATATGAGGTTTTAAGCCATTTAGGAACAAAAAAAAAATAATCCATTGTTTAAGACAGTCTTGTGAGTCACTGTTGACTCACCCGTAGGGTCCATCTGCTTCATTGCACGTGATGCAGTGCAAATTCTCTTAGCTAATGCCTCATCTGTAGTTTACAGATGCATTTTTTCTAAGTGGGTAACCTGCT